AGTGAGAGTGCATCCCCGATCATTACCTTTGTCCGACAAAGGGGCTGATCCTGTCACTATGATCACCCACTCAGATGAATTCTCAGACTGTCCCAACATACCCAAGTTTTGACCACCGCTAAGGATCTCACTGATTGGTACATCAAAGACAGCCCAATCCGACACCCAGTGCAGTATCATAATCGAGTCTAGGGGTCGGGTGTAACTTTCTAGTTTTGTCCATTAATCTCCAAGGTCCAGGGCAATACTAAAAATCTGGTACAGTTCAAAGATTCAATTTATCCTACACTGTATGTGCCTAGGGTCTCACCCTGGCAGCTGAGACGGGCCACCCCAACCGACTTGGTGGCACAACAGTGTCAGTTTTATCAAGATAGATCTCCCCAAACCGACCCACTGGCTGTGAACATTCTAAACTAACACAAGTCTCATTAAATGTCCAATTTAAGGGTATTACACAGAAACATACCAAGAGAATATGAATCAAATATGCACTTTTATTCATTTACAATAAATTCATAAAATACATCATTCTGATTGAAGCTAAGGGCATACAAAACTGTCCAACTAACCATGCTATGGTCTCAACAGGATGATCCGAATTATTCTAGTGCATGAAAAGCTCAAAACGGATATTTAGAGTTAGAGTGCATTGTTAATCTTCAACGTGCCTTGTGTTTTTTTTTTCTTTTCTATTCAAGTTTGCAGTTTATTTTTCTTTGTGCTAACTTTCTCACAACTACAATACTTACATCTTGAGATCTTGTAAATCATCACTTTACTTCTCTCTCTCTCTCTCTCATACATCTACAAGATACAAGGTCAGCTAGTGTAGTTTGAGCTCTAACTCAACTAACCCTACTAATTGCATCAAACATTACTAATTGCTATAGGCTTATTGTTTTGTTGTTTACATTTATTGTCCATTTACATTTCAACATTATTTAATTTTCATCAGTTGGATGTGTCCTTGAGATTCTAATAGCAGCTAATCACTACTTGAATCTCAAGTCAATTATAGTTTGGATAGCTGGTCCTCTCTCTCTCTCTCTCCAGCTGCTAAGGCACACACCATCGGGTGCAACTGTTATTCACATTTGTGTTTATTTACTTTTAGTTGCAATTTACAACAATCATTATTATTGTTGCTGTAGTTATTTGCTGACTACTAATCCCTGCAACTCCAACTACTATCTTGTATGCTTACTTTTGTAGTTGCAAGTTTATCATTTTAATAGTTAGGTTAGTTTAAGTTTACTATCTTGATTCACTACTGAACCTAACTGACTAAGCCTTCAAACTTCTGTTGCATATTACTTGTTATAATCTTGGATTCAGTGTGAGGAAAATGGTCTTGAGCTTCATTGCCAAAGGGTCAAATAATTGTAATTGAATTCCACGACAATCAAATTTTTAGAGCTTTACCCAATTCACCCCCCTTTTGGGTAATGCCATTGGTCCCAACAATCTATACAAAATTCTTTCTTCTTCTCTATAATTGTAGCATCATTGGTGACAGGGTGATATATATTAAATTCCTTTCAAATGCTCATCAAGTTAGAATAATAGTCTTCAAGAGACTTATCTCCCTGTTGTGGCTAATAAATTGATTGAAACAATTGGTATATCCTAGTAATATTATTGCTCCTTGAGTACATCCTATTTATTTATACCCAATTATGCTTTATAGTATTAAGAAATGTAAGGGTGATGCTGATTTTTGTCTCAATGAAATTCCATAACCATGTTTTAATTTATGCATCCTCTTGTAACCACTATGAATACTTAGAAATATTAGCCTTAAGCTTCTTATCAGTAAGAGATTTTAATTTTCCAATAGCCACAGGTGACACTGATAACTTTTCCTTTAACGGAATTTTGATTGAATGGCTCAATGCCTTTTCATTCTGATTTCCTTGAATATATAACTGAATATATAGTAATTAAATGCTGATTTGTCTCTACCTACAGCTATACTGATTTACAGAGATTTAAGGTTGATTTATCTTTACCTACAGCTATACTGATTTACAGAGATTAAGGCTGATTTATCTCTACCTACAACTATACAATCTTCTTATGGAAAGATAATATGGATACAAAATAAATAGGCTGTACAAAATAAATGTTTGCTCTATATGGCAACACCCCCCCTCAAATTGATGCTGGTTGATCAAGAAGCATCAATTTGCCAATAAGAAATTGATGGCGTTGTCGAATAAGAGACTTGGTAAACACATCGGCAATTTGCAAAGCTGTGGAAACATGTGGAAGAGAAATAACTTGAGTATTTACAGCATCTCGAATATAATGACGGTTAACTTCAATGTGCTTGGTGCGCTCATGATAGACTGAATTAGTAGCAATTTGAATAGCACTGGTATTATCTGCATGTAGAGGAGTGGGATTAGATTGAGGAAATCCAATCTCAGTCAACAATCCTCGAATCCAAGTAATCTCAGAGCAGGCAGCAAACATAGCCCGATACTCAGATTCAGTAGAAGATTTAGAGACCCGATCTTGTTTCTTACTCTTCCACGAGATCAAAGAATCCCCAAGAAACATACACCAACCTGTAACAGAGCAGCGAGTATTTGGGCAGCTAGCCCAATCGGCATCGCTAAAAGCACTAAGGCGCAAAGAAGACCCAGCGAGAAAAAATAAACCACAACATGGAGTACCCCGAAGATATCTTATGATGTGACGAACTGCAACCAAGTGAAGATGACGGGGAGAGTGCATAAACTGACTAATTTGCTGGACAACAAAGGAGATGTCAGGTCTGGTAATAGTTAGGTAGTTTAAGCTGCCCACTAATTGTTGATACAAAGATGGATCAGTAAGTAGCTCTCCCTCATCCGAGTAGTATTTGACATTCACTTCGAGAGGAGTATCAACCAATGAAGAATCCTGAAGACCAGCCAATGCAACTAAATCTTGAGTATATTTATGCTGATTGAGAAATATACCAGAGGAGTTAGATTGAACTTCCAATCCCAAGAAATATGTAAGGTGGCCAAGATCCTTCATATGAAAGGACTCTTGAAGAAGCTGCTGAAGCTGAGTAATCAATAAAGAATCCGTTCCTGTTATAACTATATCATCAACATAGACCAAAAGAAGGACAATTCCAGTAGAAGTTTTATGAAGGAATAGAGAAGAATCATATTGACTTTGCACAAACTTAAACTGTAGCAAGGTAGATTTGAACTTCTCAAACCATGCACAGGGAGCTTGTTTTAAGCCATACAATGAGCGATTCAACTTACAAACTTCCAAAGTAGAAGAGGAAAACAAACCAAGAAGAAATGTCATGTAGATATCTTCTTTGAGATCACCATGGAGAAAAGCATTTTTGACATCTATTTGTTTAAGTAGCCAACCCTGTGAAGCAGCAATGGCAATAATTGTTTGCACAGTAGTCATTTTAGCCACCGGAGCATATGTCTCCTCATAGTCCACTCCATACTCTTGTCGATTACCAAGAGCAACCAACCTAGCCTTATAGCGCTCTAGAGTCCCATCAGAGCGAAGTTTCACTGAGTAAGCCCACTTATACCCAATAGGTTTAACTTTGGGTGGACATGGAACAATATCCTATGTATGATTATCCTGAAGAATTCGAAGTTCTTCTTGCATTGCTTGTTGCCAACACTCATGCTTAACTGCCTGGGAGTAAGAAGATGAAACCGAAACAAAGGATAAAGTAACACTAAAGGATGTATGATAGGAGCCATACCAATTAGGAGGACGGGAGACTCTAGTGGAGCGTCTCAAGATAGCCGGAGTAGGATCAGGTGACAGATCTGGAGTCGGAAGGGGCGGTGGTGAATGATGTCGTTCATACACATATCCAGGCTTGAGTCATTCAGGAGAAGAAGACGATTCATCAAAGCTAGGAAGAATAGCAATATCGGAGAATGACTGATCACAAGTTGGAAAGAAAAACTGATTTTCAAAGAAAACAACATTGCGAGAAACACAAAACTTCTTAAAAGAGGAATCATAACAAACAAAACCTTTATGATTTGTACTATATCCCATAAATGCACATTTAATAGATTGAGTAGAAAGTTTATGACATTCAAGAGGAGGCAATGAACGAAACAAACACAACCAAATGTATGTAAATGCCTATACTGAGGATGCTGTTGATAAAGACGAAAATAAGGAAACTCAAGGTTTAGAGTTTGAGAAGGCAGTCTATTAATAAGATAAACTGCTGTAGATAAAGCTTCTACCTAGAACTGAGGAGGAACGAAAGACTCAAGTAGCAAAGTACGAGCAACTTCTAAGAGATGACGATTCTTTCTCTCCGCCACACCATTTTGTTGAGGTGTGTGTGGACAAGAACGTTGTGAGAGAATACCTTTTTCATTTAAAAAAATCATGAAGTACATGAGACATGTATTCTCCATCAGAATCAGATCGAAGAACTTTGATGATAGTAGAAAATTGAGTTTCAACATGTGCAACAAAARTCTTGAAGACCGAAAAAACATCAGATTTGGAACGAAGAAAATAAATCCAAGTAAATCGACTATAGTCATCAATAAATGTCACAAAATACTTATAATGTGCATGAGAGATAACAGATGTAATCCCCCATACATCACTATGAATAATATCAAAGCATTTATCTACACGACTACCGGGAAGAGGAAAAAGAAGAATTTTACTTTTTCCCAATTTACAAGTTGAACAATCAAACGAAAGGCTTGAAATTTTATCATTATTGCCTAATAAAMCAGAATTCAACAAGTAAGACAATATAGTAGAATTGGGGTGTTCCAAACATTTATGCCACACCTCATTTTTATTACTAATAGCAGAACATGCAAAAGAAACATTACTAGGAATGGAAATGTGCAGAGGAAATAAACGTCCGACTTTAGGCCCCTTCGCGATCACCGTCCCCGATTCCTGATCCTGCACACAACAACCATAACGAGAAAAATGGACATTATAGTTATTTTCTATTAATTGGCCAACTGAAAGAAGATTATCAGAAAGTCTAGGTGATATAAGAGCATTGTTGAAAACCGGAGTAATATCACCAACACCAGTAATSGGCAAATGATTTCCATTAGCAACTTGAATATTTTCTGAACCATGATAGGACCGGACATTTTGTAGCAAATTAGCAGAACTAGTCATGTGATTTGATGCGGCAGAATCAATAAGCCAAGACTTATAAAGAAATACCATTACCTTGGAGTCTCAGAGCTAAGAGGGCTAAAACAATCATTTGTTGCACCATTTCAGGAGTAAGAACAATAGATTGAGCATTTTGATTGATTGCTGACATAGTTGAGGGCCCAGTTTGAATCTGATCTGTAGAAGAATTGCCAACTGTTGCTTGAAAAGCAGTGTTTTGACGATTTTGAGGGCGAGTCAAACATCTTTGATGATGTGCCCATGCTTTTTGCAATAATTGCAAAATTTCTGGGTACAATTTGCTGCAATATGCCCATAATTCTTGCAACTAAAACACTGAACCTTACTCATATCTTTACCCTTGCTTTTTCCGTGAACCGAAAATGCCATGTGTGTTGTATTCATTTTCTCCTGTTCAAGAGTGGTTTGTGTTAGAAGACGTTGTTCCTCACGAAGCAATTCACTGAAACACACATCCAAGGTAGGAGGAGGATGACGGTTCATCAAATTAGAATGAGCATTTTCAAAATCTGAACGTAGCTTCATTAGAAACTGATCGCGCTTGCTAATTTCATAAACAACCAATACATCAGCAAGAGAAACTTTAGACACTGCAGCACACACTATATCAGAAAATTCAACCCATAAATTTTGAAAACGAGAATAGTAATCTTGAATAGAGAGACTCCCCTGTGTATAATCTACAATTTCACACTCCAATTGAAATCTCCTGGCTGAATTTGTTTGATTATAAACCTTTTTCAAATATTCCCTCATAGTTTGAGCACTTCTATAGGGGCATAAATTAAGAACAATTTTAGAATCACATGACCCGGTAATCCAAGACATCACCCTAGCATCTTTGATTTTCCATTCAGCTAATTTAGTAGCATCTGCTGGAGCTGGAGTAGTACCATCAATATGTCCCCATAATTCTTTTCCAGTAACATATAAACAGAATTGAAATTCCCATGCCGAATAATTTTTTTCCCGTAAATTTAATACAAAATTCAGAGTGGTTACCAGCCATTTTCAGCAGAAAACAAGACAAATATAGAGAGATAAACAACCCAAATATGACCGGAAAGAAATTACCAAAATACGTGAGCTTTCTGAAGAAAATCACCCAGATGGAACTTGCAATCTATGGTGGCCTGAAGTTCCAATGTCACCCAAGAATAACCAGAAATTCCAGAACTCTAAGACAATGGCTCTGATACCATGATAACTTTTCCTTCGACAGAATTTTGATTGAATGGCTCAATGCCTTTTCATTCTGATTTCCTTGAATATATAACTGAATATACAGTAATTAAAGGCTGATTTGTCTCTACCCACAGCTATACTGATTTACAGAGATTTAAGGCTGATTTATCTCTACCTACAGCTATACTGATTTACAGAGATTAAGGCTGATTATCTCTACCTACAGCTATACAATCTTTTTATGGAAAGATAATATGAATACAGAATAAATAGGCTGTACAAAATAAATGTTTGCTCTATATGGCAACAGACACCTCCATAGTTTTCTCACAAACATAGTTTTCACTTTTATTCAACATGATAGTGGTCAACATAAAGGTTGTAGAGGCCATAACATTCAATTTTACCTCCATTGTATGTCACTTTTCTTAAAAGAATGGGATCACAACTAAATTTTGCCAATCTTATCACATTCAGAATTTACAAAAAACACCTATCACATCACTATTAATCACCTCACAACATTGTGAGCACCGGAAGGTAGCCCATTGCATGTCTAATTGTTGGAGCCTCCACCCATCATTGAAGAGAAAAAGGGAGTGACAGGACTCACGGTATTCGAATTTGAACAGACGGAAGGTGTTAGGCACCCCACACTCCTTATGTAAATGCCAATTCCCTAAGTTCAGAAAAAATGAAAAAAAATGAATAGCTGATTGGTGGAGTGCATGCAGATGAGTTAAAGATAGGATTCAACAATTGAAGTAGGCAAGAAAAGTGAAAATTCATTAATTAGACGACATGGCTTTATGCAAAAAATAGATCTCTCCTAAGTAAACCAGATTTCATGATGAAAGACTAAACACATGAATGTAACTTACTTCCAATGTTGACAGGCTGAGTCTGAGAAGCATTTTAGACTCTGATGATTAGGTTTCTTCATAGGCAAACTCCCATAATGTGCAAGAATAAATGTAACCAATATGCAATCACTAGATTTTTCTCACCATCATTAGCACTGCTAATCCTTTTATTATCTTTCTTTTTTTTTCTTATTTTTTCTTGTTATATTTTAAGAAGTCTAGCACTAGATTCAGCAATAGTACATGTTTGGATTATTTGGTTTACTGTTTTTTATAGATACTAAATCCTACTATAATTTCAAAGAAAGGAAAAAACAAATAGATAATTAGATAGATAGATAGTTAAATAAATAAATAAAAACATACTACTAAATCTTGCCATAGAATCAAATGAGGATTCAAGCCTTCCCTATTCACAGTCCATGTTTTAGATTGGGGTCCCATGAATGGGACGATTTTGGGATTCCCTTTCTTCACACCTTTCTTAGAACTAGTCATTACACAAGAAGGTCAAGAAGGGCACAAATTAGAATAGTTGTGAACAGAGACAAGCCTGATGCACAAATAGAGAAAATAGAAGGTTGGGGTAGTGTCAGCTTGGGCTCGTTCCTCTTCAAGCTGAAGTCCAACGAGTAGGGTGGTATTGGAGATTTCCCTTCACACCTCTCTTGGATTCAAAGATTTACTCAGGAAGGAAGAAGCACAAACACTTGATGCCAATTCCCCTTATCCCATGTTTGAGTCCTAGACAGAACAAAACAATAACTCTAATAGAAATTCAAAAACCTACCGTCTGAGCTCAGTTTCTTATTCGACTGTTGTTTGAGCTCACTCCCATCATCTTCTTCATCTCCTTTCACGATGATTTATTGGTCTTTGTGCTCACGAAGATAGAGAATAACTGAGTCATCATTTCCATCGAGAAAACTAGTCACTTCCATCAAGAAGTCACAAGTTGTCATAGGTGATGTAATTGACATTTTAACTCTGTCCAATGCATGAAGAATATTTTTAAGAAGTTGTCTTGTTTACTAGTATCAAATGTAGGTGGTAAAACCATTTTTACTGATTATCTTGTTCTTCCTTTTTTTTATGAAATAGGAAGAAAAATGGATGTGGATGGAATTACGATGGTTTATTGGTGGAAAATTTTTGTTTTTGGGGGGTAAAGTCAAGCTTATAGAAAAGATAGATGTAGACAAAATCTCATACTGGTCACTATTAACTATTGTAGAAGACTATGGATATTTGAAGGATGAGGTTAATAAAATATGCTGTAAGGTACCCATTAGGGGAAGTGTTTGATGACTCAAAGACATTTTGGTTGTTAAGGTATGTATCCAAGGGTGAGACTCTTGGCATGTATGTGGAGCACAATGCGTTAGACCTAGCATATAATGCATCAAGGTGCATTGCAAAAGAAACTGGTGGGGGGACCTATCAATAAATAGGCTCCAGGTGAATTGAAATGAACAGTTATAAGAGTTTGAATATCTTGGGGTTAATGATAGTCAAACTAACGTTGGTACATTGAATTGGATGGTAATGTAATTTTCCATATGTTGCAGTGTGATTTAGAGGATGTGTTTGGTTATATGACACAAGCTAGAACCATTGAAAAGGAGGAAATTGGTCAGGCTAGGGTTCCCAATGTTGGAGGAATTGGAGAGGAAGACCCTACTAGAAGGACTAAGGGGGAAGAACCCATTGGAGGGACTGAGGAGGAATGTTGGAATCTACATCTAAGTATGATGTTGTAGGTTTAGATATTGAATGGCTAATAAACAATGAAGATGAAGTGCTTCAATCGGTAAGGCAAAGAGTGAAGGGGATGAGTAGGAAGAAAGGCAAGTGGTGGGTCAGACAATGAAGCTGAAGTAGAACATTTTAGGAGGAAATAGAAGAGTGGTTTTGTGTATGGCCCCACCATTGAAGTCCCCCACTTTGAGTTAGGAATGGTTTTCCTAAATAACAAGCGGAGCAAAAGGGAAGTTATAAATCATGCAATAAAGAGCCATAGGGACATTAGATTTAAGAAGTGAGTCCCAAAGTATTAAGGCTTTGTGCAAGGATGAAGGTTGCCCATGGACATTTTGCTGCATTAGACAAGTGCACAAAGCATTTTCAGCTAAAAACATATGTTCCTATGCACAAGTGCCAGTGGACTTTATAAAAAAGATGTAATTTGTAACTTAGAAGTTGGAGAAAAAGAATTTCCAAACTGGTGCTAAGGATTAGTTGTTTTGTGACGTTACAATGTCATAGTATAGGAGAGCAAAATAGAGAGAAAAGGAGTACTTTGCAAGTGATTCCAGTTAGGAGTATAGGTTAGTCTATGATTATGATGTAGAGTTAGCGAGATCTAACCCGGGTAATGTTTTAATGCATGTAAGAAGGGACTTTTGACAAGTTGTAAACTAGTTATTGGGTTGGATGGTTGTTTCCTAAAGGAATTAAGGTCATAGCGAGCTTATTTTAATTATTGGTAGACATGCAAATAATCAAATGATGCCAATAGAATGGATAGTTATAAAAAGTGAAAGCATTGACAGTTGGCAATGATTCCTTGGTTACCTCATAAATGCTATTGGCATGATAGAGGCAATTTGTGCTAGTTACACCATTATTTCAGATCAACAAAAGGTACGTAGCTGACATGTTTGTCTTATATTAATACACGCGATGGAAGAAGAATGTTGAAATTCTAAGTATGTGTTATTATTATGAATTTTTAAGGGACTGGTTAAAGTAGTTATAGAGCTAATGCCTCATATAGAGCACATGAAGTGTGGAAGAAGTGTCTTTGCAAAATGGAGGAGGAAACACAAGGGTAAAGAATTACAAAGGTAGTTTTAGATATGTGCTACAGCCACTACCATGGCTGACTTCCATAATGAGCTAGAGAAGCTTTAGAGGTTGAAGCCCAGTGCTAAGGAAGATATGATGAAGGTAGATCTAATCCAGTGGTTGAATGCATATTTCATACATTCTTAAAGTGTGACTGTGTTGATAACAACATGTTAGAGACATCCAATGGAGGCATTCTTGAATTCAGACATAAGGCAATAATTTGAATGCTAGAAGATATCAAGATGAAGGCCATGTCAAGGATAGTGAAGAGAAGAAACTTTTTCTCCATATTCAAGGGAGAGTTTGGGCCCAAGATATAGGAGAAGATAGAGGAATATAAGGAAGAAAGTGCCCAAACTAGATTGATTTGGAATGGGGAGTCAGGGCATGAGGTCCAACAAGGTGCAAATTTGACTGAGATACCCTGTCCCCATAAGAAGGAAAAAATAGAGGATTATGTTGCCATTGGTATAAGAAAGATACCCTCTTGAATACCTATCAGTATGCCATGCATCTAGGGGTGAAGTTTTGGCCCAAGTCCACTGCCAAAGCACCTGAGCCACCAACAATAAAGAAGAAGAAGGAAAGGCCTAGGGAGAAGAGGATTCTAGAGAAATGGGAGGCTCCAGAATGACCTGCCGGTATTTCTTTAAATATGGGCATAATCATAGATCTTATTCTAAGAAGTGACAAAGAAAATGTATTAAATATAATTATACTTAATTTTAATTTTATTTCTCTATGTATCACTAGTCTTATTTTGTGTTTGGTGTGAATAGGATATGGGGTGATATGGAACAATGTGTAGGTCTGAGTCAACATGGGTATGGCTCATAATTAGTATTGTGCCAATGGTGTGTTGAGACAAGGTCTAGGTCAGACTATGACTGCTAACAGTTAGACCTACCCATGGGTGGTGTAGAGTTAGGGTAGGGTGGTTTGGATCAAGAGCATGGGTGAGACGGGGTAAAGGTGTGAGCCAAGATTACGGGCTGGTATTTGTTAAGCTAGATTAGGGCTAAGGGTCCGTTTGGTTAGTGATCAGAATCGTAATGGGAATCTCTTGGAATCGGAATCGAAATGGCTTATTCCCCCTACCTGTTTGGTTCAAACAGGAATAGGAATCGGATTCCAGTTGATGCTGTTTGGTTTATCAAGAGGCTGGAATCGGAATCATTTTCAATTTTGCCCCTAATAAAAATAAAAAAGCAGAAAATTCATGAAAATACCAAAAATGCAAAAATTACAATAATTTTGTAACAAATTCAGAAAAAATCATGAAAATATTCAAAATTCAGAAAAAAGCAGCAAATTCAGAAAAAAAATCAAAGTAAAACGCAGTGAAAGTCGTATTTACCTGAGTTGGGATTTGGTATAGACTTGATCAATGCAGCAAGGACGAGTTTTAGTTGATTTTTCACCTTAGGTTGTTTGCTATGAGCCACAATGACAATCAGGAATGTGGACGGGGGCGATTCACAAGAGAAGACAACCTCACTAGCGTGGACTCTGCTTGAAATCTGGAAGAAAGATGGATTCTCTCAAGTGATTTTCGTTATAGATGTTTTTTCTTAACATGTGACAAAGAATAATAACAGGGGAGTCCTTGGAAAACTGATGAAACCGATGGTAGATGAGAGTAAACCCAGAAACGGCGAAAATCGCTGAATATATGCAGGAAAACTGGATAGTTGTCTCGTCGGGGAAGATGATGAACAAGTATCCATAAATGCTGTGCTTTGCTCACCGAAAGAGTGATAGGAATGATAAAGGAAATCAGGAAAAAAATAGGGGAAATGGGAGAATGAGAAAGGAAAATGAGGGAAGAGAGATCAGAAGAGAGGAATTTTGGTCCAATATACCGCTACAACGACCATTGCATCGACAAGGACAGAACAGAGGGAGGGAATGTGAGAAGAAGAAGAAGAAGAAGAAGAAGAGAGGAAAAAGAAAAGAGATCGACCTC